TAGGAGTAAGACGGTTAGAATAAGGCGGATTTTTTTTTAGAGTGTAGTGTTGAGTCGTGTAAAGATAAAACCTACTGAAGAAAAATCGAATTGAAGTATATGAGAGAGATAATACTGTACTAGCCTCCAACACCTTTCCTAGGAATTCTTTTTCTATCCCGGAGATTTGATTTTACCCCTTCAGAATACACGTACAGTGGTACCGAACGATCAGTAATCATTAAGCTGAACCTTGGAGAAAAGCTGTACGATCAAATAGACGGTTTCTATGGGTGCTCCCATTGCACCGTTAATGGCTGAGCTCTTTATGACAGACTTTGAGGAAAAGAATCCTGCATCAATTAGACAGAATGGAGTAAGATTTTGGTGTCGTTATGTGGATGACACTTTTGTTCTTTTGGAGAAACATGTCGATCCGTATATAATAGCTGTTTTATTATCTAGCTTCCATCTATCATTGGCTTTTACGTTCGAGTCAAAGGATGAGAATAATAGTATACCATTTCTAGATGTACAAATAACTCATTCAAGCCCAGGCTTTAGTACAAAAGTTTATAGAAAATCTACCTTTACTAGTCTCCTCACTCGATGGGACTCGTATGTACCTGATATATATAAACGTAATGCTATAGGGACAATGGTGCACAGAGCCATTCGTATATGTTCGTCATACAAGTTGCTCGATGAGGAATTTGAGAAAACTATGGAAATTGCTGGTCACAACGGTTATCCCAATAGGTACGTAGATAAAATAATTTGGGAAAAATTGGATCAGTATTACACACTAAAAGTACGTGAGCCTACTGTATTAAGAGAACGCGTGGTCTTGAAGGTACCATTTTATGGACAAGCAAACATAGTCTACGGGAGACGTGTATCAACAGCAGTTCAAAATAATTTTCCCTTGAAAGAAGTAAAGGTCGTGTATGAGACTGAGAAGTTAGATAAGTGCTTCAATACAAAAGACAAAGTACCTAGTCCACTTGAATCGGGAATTGTTTATAAAGGCACTTGCTCCGTATGTAATGAATTTTATATTGGAAAAACGTACCGACATTTTTGTAAAAGAACAAAAGAACATTTAAGTGATCAAACAAAACTTATCGGAATCTTTGAACCCACACTCGTAACACCGTCTCTCAAGGCAACAAAACATAATACCCTCACACTAAGTGGAAAAGTGTCTGAAATGAAAGACTCTTCTGGCAACACTAGTTGCTCTTCACAACGAATAACAGAGTCACATTGTGTTACCCGATCACAAACAGGCTGTTTATCTAGACTTTGGACAACCTCAACCCTCGAACTAAGTATAATTGAGGAAACTGTTGAGCAGCTCTGCTGTATAAAAAATAATAACAAAAGAAAATATAACTCAGTTTATGTTGCAAAATCGGCTATCGGTAAGCACTACTCTAATACTGGACATGTGATTACAGATAATAACTTTGAAATTGTTTTACGAGAAAAACAAAAGTATAAGTTGCTGGTTAAGGAATCGCTAGTCATTCGGGCTAGTTTATCCATGCTTAATGGTACTGATCGTTCGGTACCACTGTACGTGTATTCTGAAGGGGTAAAATCAAATCTCTGGGATAGAAAAAGAATTCCTAGGAAAGGTGTTGGAGGCTAGTACAGTATTATCTCTCTCATATACTTCAATTCGATTTTTCTTCAGTAGGTTTTATCTTTACACGACTCAACACTAGCGTTTTAAAATTTCGTTTCAATTTCAACCTATTCTTTTTATAGAAAATATACAAGTAACAATATTCTCCATATATCATAATCTCGTTCTCTTTCTTCCTTCTCTCCTCATCATGCACATGGGATTCCGGTCTTCTTTGTAATGTGTGTACCTAGATTAGAAAAACACTAGATATATATAATTAGTTATGTTTGTTTTCAATTTTTATGTAACATCCTGTACGAAGAGAAACTTGAAAATGACCGTCGAAATATCGAATTATAATTTTAATATTTTAGATTTAATTGTTTAATTTTTTATTATTTTATTAAAACTTTTTATTAAAATTCTTAACATGATAGCCGCATTGGTTTTAAAATTTTTATTCTTAACTTTGCTCATAAACTCGAAAAACATAAGCTACAATGCCGGTAATTGATGAGTAGTTATTATTCACCAGTTGATATTCTTATTCATTGATTATTAAATGCTCTGTTTCAAGAAGATATTGACTATGGATAATAGCAGCCTGTAACTATTTTCATTTCTGTTTTACATACATTATCTCTCACTACCAAGACTCAAACAGAAAGCCGGAAAGTCATGGTAGTTCAGAAAGTTCTTTGAAAACTCATTTAACTTAAAATTTAGCTTAAAATAAACACTCCCAATGAAATTGGTGTATACTGTGGCAACTTCCTAGATTAGAAAGTCTTCTATTTGCACTGTTCCTTTATCCCAAAACAACTTTAAGTACACAAAAACGAACTTTTGAAAATTGCACGAACCACGTTGAATTTTCATGTCAACTTTCATAATCCGCGTACTATTTCAGTTATATGAAACGAAGGAATATAAATGAAATGCAAGTAAAACCGTTGTATAATGTTTGTTTAAAAACAGAATTTCTGCTACTACTATTTTACGGGCCTGCATGAAGGAATTATTTTGCAGCACGTGATGTTCTCTCATTAGTACTTCCATTTTATCCTTCCATTTTATCACTTCCGAGGTTATTGCTTATTCAAAATTTTGATTTACCTTATGTACTCATTTGGCTAATACTTACCTTCGAAAGACGTAAGAAAAAATCACTCAAGGCTTTTATAAAAATCATGTGTTCCTGCGTGTATTCAATCGTGAAATCAATTCAGTACTAGTAGGATGAATTTTATTTTGTTACTGTTCTATTCTTCTATGAGATATTTTCTTTCTCTACCACTATATTTCAATATTGCTTGCATCGTATCCATCCTCCTTTCCTCCTAAATAAAATTTTCTCCTACTTTCATAATGTTATCGTATTGTAGTTGACTAAGGGTATAACGAGCTCATAGAATACATATAGAATTACAAGCACGGAAAATTAAGATTTGTACTTTCCCCCAACTTACCTTCGAAAGACGTACTTCCTTTATGATGGGGTTCTTTCCAAGACTGTAGGCTTTAAGTGTGGAAACGTATATATATATATGCGTATATAAAATGAAATATATGCACATGATGGTGCTGTAGATATTTAACGGAGATACTGGAAGGAAAGAAACCTTGACTGCAATAGTATACAAATGGCATCATCTACCTCGACTTCTGATGGTGGACAGGATTCAACAGTTAACACTACTCAAACTCAGTCGCAAGCGGACTTCGATACATCGTTGGCTTCACTACGACGACACATCATGGAGGGAAACCTCAATAAAGCAATTGTAGAAGTCAAAACGTTGGGCCACATGAATGAAAATTTATCCCATAGACCACGACGGGCAATTCAAGCCGCCGACCAGCCGCCTGAAGCCGTCGACCCGCCAACTGTTCACAGATGAGCGATTATCATTAACAAGAAAAGCAGTTGAATTGATTATTAAGACAAAATATCGAAAGATTATTAGTAATCAGGAGAAATAATTATTCAACCGTGTCCTATAGGAGGATTGGGAAACTCGGTTTCATAATGTTATCTTATTGTACTTGACTAATTCGCAGAATTTATCAGTTTCCATCTTTCATCAATATATCAGTCTTACGTGAGTTTTATCTAGTAACAATTATACCGCAGGATTTTTTAAAGTTCCGGTGTGTGAATTTACATTTAATTCTCCAGACAGAATTATTTTTCCATCTCTATAACGTCGTATGCCGCAAATAGGATTTTTGAACAAATCGCCATCATTTTTTTCTCAACAAACTCCATACTTCATCAGTTTAATTGTTTCTTCGTCATTTTTCATTCGACACCTTGAGCAATGTTTCACTGCAAAGGAGATTATATTCTAAGTGAAATTCATTACTTTTCAACTTCTCAAAAGTGGAAGTTCTACTTAAAAAACTAAATTTTCAAAATGTTCCAAAATTAAGAGAAATTCTTCGAGTATCCCTAGACTTCCGTTCTTATTTAAGTAATTGGTAAGAATTTTGCTGGAAACCTGTAAGTCTTTTATGTGCAACAGATGAGAATCTTATCAGAATTTTATTCAAGTCTTATACAAGGTTACGCAGGAAAGTGAATGGACTTTTATAAGAGACTTATAGGATTCTTATCAGACTCTTATAATCTGTAGCAATGACAGAACCTGATTTTTCATACTTTTGTACTGCATAGCATTGGCAAAGGAGTTTTACCTAAACTGGAGTCAGTCTTTCGTCCTCGTTCAACTAAACCGTATTTATTTTTCGAAAAAAATCGCTCCTTAATTTCGAAAACAAAACTAATTAAAAAGTCGCAGTCTAAATTAAAAGCTTATATATTGTTAAAAAAGAATGGCCATGGCTATTTCTTTAATAACTTTTGCACAATGCACTTTGAAGACTTGCGATTTCCAGCATTGTGTATAGGAGATAAATAGCTACAAGTTGACACAAACATATGTCAGAAAGTACTGCAGATGGTAAAAAACAGAAAAAGTCGTTCTTGCATGGAAATTCGATTTTTTTCATTACTTCGTACACAAACTTATACGTAGATTTCCAAAACAACGAAGCATTTTGAAGAAAACTTTTCGCTGACAAAGTTGTTCAGGATAATCCTCTCCATATGATAAGCGGAGTGCTCTTTTTGTTTTAGTAGAAAATTTTGAAATAAATGTAATTTACATAAAATTTAAGCAAATTTAAAGCTCAAAATTTATTGTTTGTAATTTATTTTATAATTTTCACACTAAAATGAAAAAAGTGCTCAACTTATCCTATGCAGAGGATTATCCTGAACAACTTTGTCAACGAAAAGTTTTCTTCGAAATAAGTTTCAAAAAATTACTTTAAGGACTCAAACTGCACTAGAATGAAAATTGTTAATTTTCTCAGACACAGTTGGTTTAATTTTCATTATAACTTGTAGGTATATGTCACTTAATGTGCTCTGTCGAACTGTGTAACAATAAGAGTTCCAGCTTTAATTTTAGATTTTTTATAAACTTTTTAAATAGAGGCTCAAAATCGTATGAAATTCGTAAAAATTTCTTTTCTCAGCAATTACAACTTTATTCATCGAAAGAACTTCAGTCTATATACAATTTGATGCGCTCTACAAAGTTAGGAAAAGATACCGAGATTGGCTACGGTCGCTATTCCCCTATTCTGCTGTTCCTCTATTTCCCCCCTATTTCTCTATCTGCACTGTTCCTTTATCACAAAACGACTTAAAGTACACAAAAACGAACTTAAAGATAACAATTAGAGTAAAACAGAGGAATTTCAATTTAATAATTTAGTACGCAATCGATAACATTTTTTATTTATAGTATCTTTGAATGTTTTAATCTTGAAAAAGATACCGTTTAGTTTTTGAGTTATAAGGCTGCCAATATCACAGCTGAATGTATGAAAAAGTAGGTGGGTACGTCAACATAAAGCCAAATGAGTTTTCAAAGAACGTTCTAAACTACCATGACTTTCCGGCTTTCTGTTTGGATCTTGATAGTGAGAGATAATGTATATAACAGAAACGAAAATAGTTACAGGCTGCTATTATCCATAGTCAATATCTTCTTGAAACAGAGCACTTAATAATCAATGAATAAGAATATCAACTGGTGAATAATAACTACTCATCAATTACCGTTATATTCATCACTGCGATTGTACAAAGAAACAGCATATCTATATAATGCACATACTACTAGTTCAGTTAGATGAAACTTGTTAAATGTTTTTTTCCTTCTATGCGCACTATACACTTTTCAGTAGCCATGGATCAATTAAAATTAGGGTTTTCTTGAAATTTATCACAGTAGGGTCTGATTTGTGAACATCTGCAATTTACATAATATATCTAGATGTATATCTAGATGTTCAGATATTCAGATATTCTGATATTCAAGTTAGATATTTAGATATTCAGATGTTATAGAAAT